ATGGGGGACACGAAGCTGGGATATGGGGGACACGAAGCTGGGATATGGGGGACACGGAGCTGGGATATGGGGACACGGAGCTGATGTATGGGGACACGGAGCTGGGATATGGGGACACGAAGCTGGGATAGAACCACCCTCTGGTCACCTACACACAACGGTCCAACTTTCCTTTCCATATTTTCTGTCCAGTACAAATTAACCAGTGTGGCGTCACCCAATCCATCACAGCCAGCGCGGGTGTGGCTATACCACCTATCATTTGGGCAAGGCCGGCCAGAGGGGGGGGATGCTGATCATGGACAGCAAGGGGGCCCATGAAGGGTATTTTCACACCTATAATCGGGGCTCGAACCCGTGTAATCTCAGGGAAAACGCATTATCCTACCGATCTCAGCTTCATGGTGTGATGAAATCTATTACTCGGAAGAAAAGATCGAAGATATTGTTTTTCTGATTTCTGTTTTCAAGATTTTGTGTTTGTGTAATGAAAACACCCTCTCACTGCAGTCGCAGTGAGAGGGTGTGTTAGCTGAGCTCCGGAGAGTAGTTATATTATCATAGCAATATAGAAAGTGTAGTGAAGGAACTGATGAATCTAGTTGGAGCCCTGAGGACAGAGTTGGATTCCCTATGGGAGGAGGTACGACAGTTGAAACAACATCTAGAAGAAACGAAGGAGGAGACCAGTATTAAAAAGACCTCGTCTTGGCAAGTTATAAAGAACAGAGGCCTTAAGAAGACCTTGATAAAGCCGCCTACAGACATCCTAAGGACTTCTAATTCATTTGCCTTATTGGAGGACGAATGCTGTGGTGAGACTGCGGTTGACGCGAAAGGGAAAGCAACGAAGAGCAATGAAGCGTAGGCCCCTCGGAGAGTAATTGGTACTAATTGCCGATTTGGTACTAACGTTGGATATGGGGTCGTCTCACAATGTAACGACAGACTACTCACAAATATACGATCTTAAATGATGCATCAAGAAAGAAACTATACTTAACGTGAGTGTATGTAATACTGAAGTCTGCCGATATCGCGTCTGCCAGTCCCAGACGTTCACGGCGTTGTACGCGTATTTGTGGGTTTTAGCTTTAATTGTAGACACGTTATTGGCTGGCTGGGCACTATAGAGCACGTGGAGGAATAATTGTTCACTATTAGTTGGGTATCAGTGTAATTCTTGCTGATAACTCCCAATCTCGCCACTCTTCACGACAGGACCCTCCTCTCTCGTACGCTGTCCAGGCACGCTCTCCCCTCAATGGCGTCGCTGCCTTCCCCAACCCGGCTCTCGCATTCACCACAGAAATTATTAATCACGAATAATTCTTTTCCGCGCGATTATGGATGAAATACGTTAATGAGGACTGGGTTGCAATTATAGGGGTTTAAATATTATTATATTCTCGTTTTATGGTGTTAAACGAGAAATGGAGAAGATTTTATCTCTCTCTATGACATTCGTGCGTGACTGAAGGGAATGTTACTACAGAACAATTTAACTAATAACTCTCGATTTAAGATTATTGGGATTTATATTATCCGTAAGTAATTATTACATGGAATACTGATGATTTTAGAGAACCACATTCAATCCTCTAACACATTGGTAATAAATGTGTTTAACTAGTCATTATCTGACACAATGTTGCTGCTCTATTTCGTGAGAATTCTAGCATTAATACACAGATGCTATGGTTAGTTTATGTTGACACTAATGTTAGTATATTTAGTGACTACTGTAGTTAGTATATAATAATAATGATTTATTATAATACAATAGTAGTTTATTAGTGTTGGAAATTTCCAACAAGTACCACACCCTGGGTGCATACCTGGGTATAGGAGCCGGTCGGCCGAACGGACAGCACGCTGGACTTGTAAACCTGTGGTCCCGGGTTCGATCCCGGGCGATGGCGAGAAACAATGGGCAAAGTTTCTTTCAACCTATGCCCCTGTTACCTAGCAGTAAAATAGGTACCTGGGTGTTAGTCAGCTGTCATGCGCTGCTTCCTGGAGTGGAGGCCTGGTCGAGGACCGTGCCGCGGAGACACTAAAAGCCCCGAAATCATCTCAAGATAACCTCAAGATGGTACCCTGTGGACTACATACCACCATGGTATCCTGTGAGTCACATACCACCATGGTACCCTGTGAGTCACATACCACTATGGTACCCTGTGAGTCACATACCACTATGGTACCCTGTGAGCTACACACCACCATGGTTCCCTGCAAGCCAAATACCACCATGGTAAACTGTGAGCCACATACCACTATAGTACATAGTGAGCCACATACCACCATGGTACCCTGTGAACCATACCACCATGGTACCCTGTGAGCCACATACCACCATAGTACTAGTAAGCAACATACCACCATGGTACCCTGTGAGTCACATACCATCATGTTTCCTTGTGAGTCACACATACCACCATGGTTCCCTGTGAGCCAAATACCACCATGGGATCCACATACCACCATGGTACCCTCTGAGCCACATACCACCATGGTACCCTGTGAGTCACATATACCACCATGGTACCCTGTGAGTCACATACCACCATGGTACCCTGTGAGTCACATACCACCATGGTACCCTGTGAGTCACATACCACCATGGTACTCTGTTAACCACATACCACCATGGTACCCTGTGAACCACATACCACCATGGTACCCTGTGAACCACATACCACCATGGTACCCTGTGAACCATACCACCATGGTACCCTGTGAGACACATATCAACATGGTACCCTGTTAACCATACCACCATGGTTCTCTGTGAGCCACATACCACCATGGTTTCTTGTGAAACATACGACAATGGTACCCTGTGAGCCACATACCACCATATTTCCCTGTAAACCACATACCACCATGGTACCCTGTGAGTCACATACCACCATGGTACCCTGTGAATCACATACCACTATGTTACCCTGTGAGTCACACATACCACCATGGTTCCCTGAGACAAATACCACCATGGGATCCACATACCACCATGGAACCCTGGGAGCCACATACCAACATGGTACCCTGGGAGCCACATACCACCATAGTACCCTGGGAGCCACATACCACCATGGTACCCTTTGAGCAATACCACCATGGTACCCTGTGAGCAATACCACCATTATACCCTGTGAGCCACACACCACCATGGTACTCTGTGAGCCACACACCACCATGGTACTCTGTGAGCCACATACCACCATGGTATCCTTTGAGCCACATACCACCTTGGTACCCTGTGAGTCACATACCACTATGGTACCCTGTGAGTCACATACCACCATGGTACCCTGTGAGCCACATACCACCATGGTACATTGTGAGCCACATACCACCATAATACCATGTGAGCCATACCACCATGGTACCCTTTGAGCCACATACCACAATAGTACCCTGTAAGCCTCATACCACCATGGTACCCTGTGAGTCACATACCACTATGGTACCCTGTGAGTCACATACCACCATGGTACCCTGTGAGTCACACACATACCACCATGGTACCCTGTGAGCCAAATACCACCATGGTACCCCCGTGAGCCACATACCACCATGGTACCCTGTGAGCCACATACCACCATGGTATTCTGTGAGCCACATAAAATATGGTACCGTGTGAGCCACATACCATCATGGTACCCTGTGAGTCACATACCACAATGGTATAGTGTGAGCCACATACCACCATGGTACCCTGTGAGTCACATACCACCATGGTACCCTGTGAGTCACATACCACCATGGTACCCTTTAAGTCACATACCACCATGGTACCCTGTGAGCCACATACAACCATGGTATCCTGTGAGCCACATACCACCATGGTACCCTGTGAGTCACATACCACCATGGTACCCTGTGAGCTACACACCACCATAGTTCCCTGTGAGCCAAATACCACCATGGTACCCTGTTAGCCAGACCACCATGGTACACTGTGAGCCACATACCACTATAGTACCTTGTGAGCCACATACCACCATGGTACCCTGTGAGCCATACCACCATGGTACCCTGTGAGCCACATACCACCATAGTACTAGTAAGCCACATACCACCATGGTACCCTGTGAGTCACATACCATCACGTTACCTTATGAGTCACACATACCACCATGGTTCCCTGTGAGCCAAATACCACCATGGGATCCACATACCACCTTGGTACCCTGGGAGCCACATACCAACATGGTACCCTGGGAACCACATACCACCATGGTACCCTGTGATCAATACCACCATGGTACCCTGTGAGCCAGACCACCATGGTACACTGTGAGCCACATACCACTATAGATCCCTGTGAGCCACATACCACCATGGTACCCTGTGAGCCACATACCACCATGGTACCCTGTGAGCCACATACCACCATGGTACCCTGTGAGCCACATACCACAATGGTACCCTGTGAGCCATACCACCCTGGAACACTGTGAGCCACACACCACCATAGTACCCTGTGAGCCTTACCACCATGGTACCCTTTGAGCCACATACCACAATAGTACCCTGTAAGCCACATACCACCATGGTACCCTTTGAGTCACATACCACCACGGTACCCCTGTGAGCCACATACCACCATGGTACCCCTGTGAGCCACATACCACCATGGTACTCTGTGAGCCACATACCACCATGGTACCCTGTTATCCACATACCATCATGGTACCCTGTAAGCCACATACCATCATGGTACCCTGTGAGCCACATTCCATCATGGTACCCTGTCAGCCACATACCATCATGATACCTTGTGAACCTGCACATTCCACCATGGTACCGCTGTGAGTCACACATCAACATGGTACCTTGTGAGCCACATACCACCATGGTACCCTTTGAGCCACGTACCACCATGGTACCCTGTGAGCCACATATCACCATGGTATCCTGTGAGCCACATACCATCGTGTTAGGTTAAATATATTACAGCTCTTAAGTGACATAAAATATAAATCCATCTGTTACATTTTTATCCATTTTATTCACAAAAATAGAATACGTGATCACTGAGAATACAGCTGTATAGAGATACTAGAAGGTCACCACAGGTGCTATCTATGAGATGGTTGCCACAGGTGCTATCCAGTAGACATCCAAGACCTATGAACTAACTTGCTAATTATGTATATTGTTGGCCATGGTCCCTCATCTGAGGATAAGATCACCTTATCCTACCCACATGATAGCAATAAGTAAGCTTGTAAACGTTTTGGAGAACGACAGAGGACAGAGGGCGTATTCAGAGCACTACCCAACGTTGCTACAAGGACAACAGCGACTCGGTCCACCGAAACCGACTCTGGCAGCTTGGGGAGGATGTCTTGATGATGTGAAGTAGATGAGAGGCGGACGAAAGGGGCAGGCACAGCACTTGGTAGATCTGTCCACCCGGGAATCCGGCACGAACGCGAACAGCTCCACGGCGCCAGACTGTTGAGATGAGAGGTATTAGAACAAATGTCTTTATCCCCCCTTGTGAAGATTACCTTGTCTGATGTTACTTGTACAGTGTGGATAGTGGTGAACAAAACTTGTACTAGGATATACAGTGGTGAACATTGGCACGTTATATATTGATGTCCTGAGGATATATATCTGAACACACCATACACACAGGGACTCGACTCACCGCAGGAGCTGCCTGCAGCATCACCAGCATGAGGCAGAGTCCAGCCACGAGGCCCAACACAGTCTTCATATTGCCAGGTGTGACAAGGAACCTCTGTCAAGAAAGCGAAAATTACAAGCATCGTGCATCACTCCTGAAGCTTCTTTTTAGGTACCATTATTGGTCGTCACAGACTGGCCACACGCCAGGATCATGACACAGACTGTGGCCATGAACCAGGATCACGACACAGTACCACCATAGCACCCTGTGAGCAACATACCTCCATGGTACCCTGTGGGTCACATATCAGCATTGTACCCTGTGAGCCACATACCACAATGGTACCCTGGGCGTTACATACCAACATGGTACCCTGTGAGTCACCACCATGGTACCATGTGAGCCACATACCACCATGGTATCCTGTGAGCCACATACCATCATGGTACCCTGTGAGCCACATACCACCATGGTACCCTGTGAGCCTCATACCACCATGGTACCCTGTGAGCCACATACCACAATGGTACCCTGGGCGTTACATACCAACATGGTACATTGTGAGTCACCACCATGGTACCATGTGAGCCACATACCACCATGGTATCCTGTGAGCCACATACCATCATGGTACCCTGTGAGCCACATACCACCATGGTACCCTGTGAGCCACATACCATCATGGTACCCTGTGAGCCACATACCACCATGGTACCCTGTGAGCCTCATACCACCATGGTACCCTGTGAGCCACATACTACCATTGTACCCTGTGAGTCACATACCACCATGGTACCCTGTGAGTCACATACCACCGTGGTACCCTGTGAGTCACCAACATGGTGCCCTGTGAGTCTCTCACCATCATGGTATCCTGTGAGCCACATACCACCATGGTACACTGTGAGTCACATACCACCATGGTACCCTCTGAGCCACATACCACAATGATACCCTGTGAGCCACATACCACCATCGTACCCTGTGAGCCACATACCACCATGGTACTCTGTGAGCCACATACCACAATGGTACCCTGGGCGTTACATACCAACATGGTACATTGTGAGTCACCACCATGGTACCATGTGAGCCACATACCACCATGGTATCCTGTGAGCCAGATACCATCATGGTACCCTGTGAGCCACATACCACCATCGTACCCTGTGAGCCACATTCCACCATGGTACCCTGTGAGCCACATACCACAATGATACCCTGTGAGCCACATACCACCATCGTACCCTGTGAGCCACATACCACCTTGGTACCCTGTGAGCCACATACCACAATGGTACAGTGTGAGTCACTCTAACAAACTACGTTGTTGTAGGAATGATCCAGTATGTTCTCTCTCAGACATGGGAGTGTGGGAGGTTAGAGTCATGTGTAGGGACCTGACTGGGAGCACAGGGCATCCCCTGGGAATTGGAGGTTGAAATACAAAATGGCGCCTTTGTCTCACAGTATTGTATAATGAATTATCCTACAGTATTCAGTAATTTAGATAAATTAATCTTCATTGTCGGGGAACGCGAGGCAAGTAGGAGTATACAAGATATCCTAAGTACTTTATCCTGGCAAGGTCACCAATGTCGGGGTGTCTCTCTCTCTATATGGACGCCACCCAGTAGTATTAGCGATCACTGTTACTCACCGTAGCCCTGCGGGTCTTCACTCAATCCTCGCAGCGCCACTGTTCGCCAGGAGAGTATCCCAGTCGATCCCCAGCCAGCCTTATAGCCAAAGAATGAGTGGGAACGCAGTTTGCTCTCTCCTAACCGTGTGCCCGCCCCGACAAGGATTCTACTACTAACTGCAAGATCGACAACTGGTGTTTCCCGTGTCCAGTAACACGTCAGTGGTATTGTGGAATTGTGGTACGAGTGGCAGAGAGCTCACTCATTAAATCTGGTCACAAGCAGGTATATGTCTCTAATACTCTCACTCTTTGGAACTGCTCTATAGCAACAAGATATATATGGAGGGATAATACAAACGCGAAGGTATTTTGTATTTTACTTAAAAACTTCAAGGTATTATATCCGTATCAACAACGAAACATCAAGTACAATGCAGAAAGTCACTCTCTCTTCATTAAACTGGGGCTCATCAAGAGGGTAACACTCCCCCCCCCCTCCTGTCAATGTAATAATCAGCTGAGAGGCCCCCCCCCCTCACCGTGCGAATGCTTAGTACTTGTTTCTTTGGCGTGAAGCGCCTGATTCTATAAATTCGCAGGGATCACTATGTTTGTAATCAACACAATATTTCTATAATGGCAATAGAACGCAATGAATCACCACACTGATCTCAAGTTCAATAACTCATTTCTACAGCACTTAACATAATATTTTACTATAATGGCGTTGCACTGTACTTAATAATAAATGCAATCAGTTACGGTACTGACCTTAGATTCAATAATTCCTTTCGCAGGCGATAACACAATTAATCACTGCACATATGGAAATGTTATCCAACACACTAACATATACATATATAGAGATAAATTCATCAATATCCATAATAATAAGATAAATACTGGGCACACAGCCTAACACCAATAACTGGTGCACTTATATATATATTCTCTGGCATAAGTTATCATATTAATGTCACATGAAAGAAATCATCAACGACACAGTCAACTCTTCAATAATTCCAGGTGCCTGCACACACCACATATATAAATATCGTGAGAGCTCTGTACAGCCTCACTCTGCACAACTGTGCCTTACTGTGACATAGACATAGGTGAGCCTTGCTCACGACATGAAAGATACTCTGGCTAAATATATAGCTGACTAAAGGGGAATTGGGAGGGAAACTAGAATCACCTACTTCCACCTTGCTGATGTGGACTCGCCCTCCGGTGAGAGTTGAATTGTAGCTCCTGGTCCCGGCTCTCGCCTCGTTGTAGGGAACGCCCCCACACACACACTGATGCGTTCTCCAGGAACCCAATCAATGTCCCAAAATAAATGCGTCGTCTCCGTGCTCTGTCCTCCGCAGGTCCGTGCTCCTCCACAACGTCTTGCAGGGTTGGAGTCGGTCTCCCAGCCGTCGACTTCTCCTCACAACTACGGCTGCCAACCTACTTCTCGGCTGCAGTCGTCCTGATTCCCAATTAGTTTTCTTCTTTCACTGCTTCCCGGTGGATTGGCCCAGCCTCTACGTCATCACAGAAGGGTGAACTGTCTCAGACGTCACATACTTCACTGCACAGACTTCACTTCTTCTTCTTGCAAAGCACCTGTCCCTGGAGCACTTGTTGCTCAATATTCCATCTATTCCCTCTTCAGTCCAACACATGAACAAGGGAAGACCTCACAGCGTACTTGCAGACTACGACGCGTAAAATCCACAGGAGCGGGGTTCAACTGTCAAATCTGACAGGACCAACCTTCGCACATCCGTCCACCTTGACGTGTCGTGTCAGATTGGTGGTGGCGCCAAAGAGGCACAATCTCCGGACCCCCCCTGCCTTCGTGACGTCATACTTACCAGGGGCGGTTTTCATTGGCTCCCTGTGCCACGTCACTGTCAGTGACCAATCTGGTGCCACTAAGGTCACACAGTTTTGGCGGCAAAACAGAGGGGCCAGCGCCATATTGGCGTCCTAAAGGGCCTAAACCACAGGCCAAAATACTTTTCTATTACGAATTTCACGCCAACGCGAGAACACTACACGCTCCCACATATATCAAATTGTTGCCCGCAACGTAGAGAACGCTAGGGAAAAGTGGATATGACTCTTACAGCAGGCGTGGGAGAAATATAATCGGGGAACACTGTCACATCATTCAGATTATATTCAATAGTATTCGTGTTTATAGTATCAACAGTATCCTAATTGTCAGAATAATGAGTAAGTCACCATCAGTGACGTCACGAGCCGGGACTATAGGCCGTGGCGAGGAGTGACCTCGGCCACCTGGTGGTCACGGGTCCTCAGAGTTTCCACATTCAGTATTTCTCAAAAGTCAAATAGCCATTTTGTAATCGGAAATAGCTCTTCCCTAAGATGCCTGTGTAATTAACTACAGTTAAAAGAATTCAACCATCTGGGTCGTTCAGTACAACAGAGATTAGTTGTTCAACTTAAACCCTACGAGTGAACTTAGTAAAGCCAGGCGTAGGGATACCCATCTGTGCTTCTGTGTAGAGGAGCGAGAGGGAAGAGGAGTGTGGAAAAAGCAACAACTCAGGAAGGTGACCTCTATCCACCTCTCCCCTAGACCAGCACTACCACCGCTGGTCGCCCTAAAAGGTTTAGTTGCTATGGTTTTGAGTATAGGAAGTTAGTAATCTCATTGCCTTTTAAAACAGGGAGTGCTTTGAATTAGATTTTGTTTAGTTTTGAATAAATCATTTAGCTAGTAAATTGCCTTTTTATTAATTTCCATTTTATGTACTATTATTTACATTTCCTGGCCACGTGGCTCCCACGAGGCCGAGTTTCGTTGGGCCGCAAATTCTAACACCGATTAAGAATTCATTATCCCTTTCATTGTTAATATTGCCGCACTTTAACGTAAATTAATCCCTCCCATACCAACTAGTTGGGGATCAAGCCCCCAAGGTTTATTGAGAGCATAATCGATCCAGACCTCGGTTTTTGCTCAGTGTTAATGGTCTGGTGGTGGCAGCGTAAGGAGATTCTAGAGTTTTGCTAGAGATCTACTTCCATGTCATAAAGGTTGTAGAATCTTAAGCCGGTCAAACGGCTTACGACCACATGGCGTGGGGTTCGGCTAGAGTAATAGCTCTAGGGTCCCTTGGTTTGAAGAAAATTGAATAAGAATACGGACGGGTGGAGTAGAAGAAGGTACGAAGCCCTTCCGGTGTTACACCACATACCATCATGGTACCCTGTGAGCCACATACCATCATGGTACCCCTGTGAGCCACATACCACGATGGTACCCCGTGAGCCACATATCACCATGGTATCCTGTGAGCCACATATCATCGTGTTAGGTTAAATTTATTACAGCTCTTAAGTGACATAAAATAAAAATCCAACAGTTACATTTTCATCCATTTTATTCACAAAAATAGAGTACGTGATCACTGAGAATACAGCTGTATAGAAACTCTAGAAGGTCACCACAGGTGCTATCTACGAGATGGTCACCACAGGTACTATCTAGTAGACATCCAAGCCCTATCAACTAACTTGCTAATTCTGTATATTGATGGCCATGGTCCCTCATCTGAGGATAAGATCATCTTATCCAACCCATATGATAGCAACAAGTAGGCTTGTAAACATTTTGGAGAACGACAGAGGACAGAGGGCGTATTTAGAGCACTACCCAACGTTCCTACAACGACAACAACGACTCGGTCCACCGAAACTGGCTCTGGCAGCTTGGGGAGGATGTCCTGATGTTGTGAAGTTGATGACAGGCGGACGAAAGGGGCAGGCACAGCACCTGGTAGATCTGTCCACCCGGGACTCCGGCACGAACGAGAACAGCTCCACGGCGCCAGACTGTTGGGACGAGAGGTATCAGAACAAATGTCTTTATCCCTCCTTGTGAAAAATTACCTTGTCTGATGTTACTTGGTCAGTGTGGATAGTGGTGAACAAAACTTGTACTAGGATATACAGTGGTGAACAATGGCACGTTATATAATGATGCCATGAGGATATATATCTGAACACACCATACACACAGGGACTCGACTCACCGCAGGAGCTACCTGCAGCATCACCAGCAGGAGGCAGAGTCCAGCCACGAGGCCCAACACAGTCTTCATATTGCCAGGTGTGACAAGGAACCTCTGTCAAGAAAGCGAAAATTACGAGCATCGTGCATCACTCCTGCAGCTTCTTTTTAGGTACCATTATTGGTCGTCACAGACTGGCCACATGCCAGGGACCGGATTCAGGAAGGTACTTAGGAAGGTTTTTCCTCTTAGCTAAGAACGTTTTCCCTCTTAGCGCCTTCGTGGCGGCTACGTCCATATTCAAGTAGCTACCCTAAGTGGAAAAACCTTCGTAAGTTCATTCCGGGATTTAAGTGTGGTTTCGACCACTCGTAGCTTTACGTAAACTGGATATAAGTCATTTTTTCTCTACTACATAACACTGGGATCGATTTATGATATTGGAACATGACCAAAATATTACAGCTGGTGAATCTAGCGAAGAGGAGTCCTTCGTGTTAGTTATATATGCATTCTCTGCTTGAAACTTGAAGTAAATATGTGTTTGATGATAGTAGAATTAGTTTTATAATGGCAAGATATTATACCAGTAGTTATTAAGTAAATAAACACTGGTGAACATGAAATATGAGAGAAGGTGATAAGCCCTGCCTGATGGGATCATTTACTATCACCAAATGCCCCTGTTCACCTAGTAGTAAGGGTGTACCTTAGCTATACACACCCATTTCTAATTTATTTAGTTTGGTTTTATTTTGAAATTAAATCTGGGTGAGACATAAAATAAAAATATGCTGCACAAATGATGTTAGGTAAGGAGAAGGGTAAAAATGTCACAAACTTTATTCATTGAATACTTAAAGCTATAATTATGACTATATAGATTATTAAAAAAGAGAGAAGGAAGTAGGGGTCCAAGACCTCTTCCTGTTATACAATTTGGGTGTGGAACAAGTAATTATCAAAAGAAGGCACCATGCCGGGAAGGCTATGTAGCAGTAAGGCAGTGAGGTGAGGCAGCTACTTATTTGAGAAATGCTTATTTTATTTACCTTATAAGCTGAGGCAACTTATTTTATTTGAGGAATACTCAGCTGATTCCTCTACATTTAGCATGGAACAAATTTGTGTCCAAGACCTCTTCCTGTTACTCAATTTAACTGTGTGTAACCAAACTAGAAGTGCTCTACAAATCAAGGGACCCAGAATGTGGAATGACCTCCCGAATCATGTCAAAGGCTGTACCTCTCTCAACCAGTTTAAGAGTTAAACCAAGTATTGCCTAATTAACTCCATGTAACCTAACTTACCTCCTAAATGTCAACCCATGTCTTGCTATTTTTTAAACAACGCTGTTCACCAACATGTGCAATTGCTGATTTATGCTATGTTAACCCCCCTTTTTGTATTTTTTTATTCCTTCTTTCAACACAATTTATACCTAATCCCAATTACTATTAAGTTTTAGTCTGTGTTTTTTCCCCCCACACCTTGCCCGAAATGCTATGAGTATTAGTGGCTTTAGGTATTGTATGTACTAGATCTGTCTGTAAATCCAACATTATGTTTGTAAATCAACTGTATGTACTTTTCCTGAATAAAATGTATTTATTATTTATTTTTTAATCAGTAAGTATTAAAAGAAGGCACCAAGCTGGAAAGGCTATGTAGCACCATTGTGTGTAACAATAAACCAAATTTTTTTTGATGTCCTGCAGATGTCAGACATCTGCAGGAGCTGAAGGAGGCATTTGAGCAGAGTTCCGTGCAGCGTTTCACTTACGAGATGGAAAAGGATGGGAAGCTGCCCTTTCTAGATGTAACAGTCATGGAAAAGAGCGGAGGTTTCCACACTGCAGTCTACACTAAGGAAACGAACATAGGAATGTGCCTAAATGCCAACAGCGACTGCCCAGACAGGTACAAGAGGAGTGTTGTTAACGCATATGTCGACCGTGCTCTCAGCCACAGCTCAGAATGGAAGCAAGTCGACGAAGAACTCTGTAGGGTAAGGCAGGTCCTAGTCAACAACGGCTTCTCCAATGGTTTCGTCGAAGGCATCATAAGAAGGAAAGTGAAAAGCCATGCAACCTCTGAAGAGACAACTAACACAACACCTATACCCCCTATTACACTATTTTACAGGAACTTCTTTTCCACAGCTCATAAAACGGAGGAAAGGGTCCTGAAAGATATTGTTAATAGAAACGTTATCCCTACAGACAAAAATCAGAGGATACAACTGACGATTTACTATAAAACCAGAAAAACGGCCAGCCTACTCATGAGAAACTCTCCAGACACAAAACAGAACGCTTTAAAAGAGACTAACGTCGTCTATGCCTTCAAATGCCCTCTTGGGGATTGTAAGCTCCAAAAAACCCAGTATATAGGCAAGACAACAACATCTCTTTCTAGGCGTTTAACGATGCATAAGCAACAGGGCTCCATTAAGGAACATATAATCTCTTCCCACAACCAAACCATCGCCAGAGAAATCCTAGTAAACAACACAGAAATCATCGATAGATACAGCGATAGCAGGCGGCTTGACGTTTGCGAGGCACTACACATCAAGAAGTCAACACCAGCAATCAACAGCCAATTATTGCACAACTATATTCTACCCACCTCAAGACTCCAATCCAATATAGAAGCATCAAGAAATATGGACCAATAGGCTTTCTACAAACACTTCTATTCAATACCCATTGTTTCGTGTTCTGTCTTGTGTTGATGAAATTAATACCCTATTAATGTCACCTCTTGTTCTGTCTTGTGTTGATGAAATTAATACCCTATTAATACCACCCCTTGTTCTGTCTTGTGTTGATTAATGCCACATCACCCCTTCCACCTCACTCAAATGTAGATATAAAATCGGAGATGCGTAAGTTCTATTCAGTTGTGTATTTGTAAACTAAAGTCTTTGAAAATGTAATAAGTTTTACGAAACGCGCTCGTGTCGCGTCAGACTAGAAATAAAAATGAATTTTGGAGAATTGATTTTTGATTTACCTCCAACAGTGAAAAGAAATGTACGAAAGATTGAGAAAATTCGTGTTAGAATTATTAATCTTACTTTTTCGGTCATATTTAATAATATATGTCTACAGGAAAGACTGCTACCAAAATATACTAATATATATATATATATATATATATATATATATATATATATATATATATATATATATATATATATATATATATATATATATATATATATATATATATATTATTATTATTATAGTTGATGAAAATATTTGATGAAATTAATACCCTATTAATGCCACCTCTTGTTCTGCCTTGTGTTGATGAAATTAATACCCTATTAATGCCACCTCTTGTTCTGTCTTGTGTTGATGAAATTAATACCCTATTAATGCCACCTCACCCCATCCACCTCACTCAAATGTAGATATAAAATCGGAGATGCGTAAGTTCTATTCAGTTGTGTATTTGTAAACTAAAGTCTTTGGAAATGTAATAAGTTTTACGAAACGCGCTCGTGTCGCGTCAGACTAGAAACAAAAATGAATTTTGGAGAATTGATTTTTGATTTACCTCCAACAGTGAAAAGAAATGTACGAAAGATTGAGAAAATTCGTGTTAGAATTATTAATCTTACTTTTTCGGTCATATTTAATAATATATATATATATATA